TAACTAAAAAAAAAAAAAAAAAAAGTAAGTAAATAAATAAAATAAAAGGAGTGACGGGATATACAAGTTATCCAGTGAAACTGCTAAACCTGGTGACGTTTCTTTGCCGACCGCAGAGCAGCGCTTCCCCAGGATGGGCCCGAATGCCTCAGCTGGACATTCGGGCCCTTAGAGGAAGCAGTCACATCTCCTTCTTGCATTTCCTGGTAGAGACATTTTTCAGCTGTGTCGGGGCCAAGGCTCGAAATCAGAGAACAAACTAAGGTAGAAACGGACCCATCCAATTTAACCACAGAGCTCAGACGCCGGCTCAGAGGGTCATTTGTCTGTTTTTACCAAAAAGAGTGTGCCTGGGACCATAAACCTGTTTGCATGCTAAGGACCTTGAATTTTACAAACACCGGATGATGAGATTTTGGAAGAAGACTCATTATTATTATTATTAATTATTATTATTATTATTATTTTCACTGTTCCCCAAATCCATTGGCCACTTACTGCTCTAATTAATTCCCCCAAACAGCATTAGAAGATAAACACAAGGCCTAATTGATTACTCCTACGTGGAGGAAGGGTTGGAAATGATTTCGTTTGGCTTGGAGAATGCGCTTCACGTTTGCACATTAATTGTAGACAATTGCTCTGGCTTCCAAAAGGCCCTGGCGGTCCAGCGCCTCGCGGGCGCGCGGGCCAGGCTGCTCGTGTGAAGACGGCCACCTGGTGGTGAAGGCGGAGAACTGCAGCCCGGCGAGCCCGGCGCCCCCGGCCCTCCCGCCGCTCCGGGCGCAGCCTCGGCTGTCGGCGGACAGAGCGCAGCTGCGCGCAAGCCGGGCTCAAGTTCAAGTCGAACGATTTCCAGAACAGTTACATCAACTCCCTGAAAGCTCCAGGTCACAAGTTCTCTAAATTATTTACAAAGCCAGCCGACGCTGCGTGCTAACCATTTTTAAAGGCTCCTAAAACCTCTTAAGCGAGAAGCTGAACAGGAGCCTTCGCGTTCGGGGGTGAGGTCTCATCTGCACCTCAAAACTTCTGGACGTCCTGGGGGGGGGCGGCTAATGAGCTTCTGTTTGCTTTCGCGGAGGTAAAAGAAGTGGTGATTCCTTTGGCACCAGGAAAACGAGCCTTTTGAGCTTCTAAATATGGCCTTGCCCCGGAGCCGACCCTGCTTTTCTCCAACTTGAACTCTGTGAGACAGAAATACGGAACTGGGGGGAAAAAAAAAAATCAGGCAGGCAAAATCCCTCTTCCCAGCTGCTCCTGGTTCCTAGTTTTCACCTCTCTCTCTTTTTAAAATATGTTTTTATTGATTTTTTTTAGAGGAAGAGAGAGGGAGAGAGAGAAACATCGATGGGAGAGAAACATCATCGATTGGCCGCCTTCTGCATGCTCCCTACTGGGGACCGAGCCCGCAGCCTGGACATGTGCCCTGACCAGGAATCGAATCGGTGACCTCTTGGTGGATGGGACGACACTCAGTCCACTGAGCCACACCAGCCAGGCTGTTCATTTTAATTTTTAAGCCTGGAGATGAGCTTCTACAAGGCGATAGAGAGCAGTTCCCCAATTCCTCAGGGTGTACTTGATGTCAGACAGAACGAAACCAAATCACAGGTCCTCAGTGTAATGTTCGTCGCTTTAAATAGGGGAAGGTAAGATTTGCATCAGGACACAATGTGTCTTCCAGAAGGAGCAGTAATAAAGTGACAGACCACAGAGCTGAGATTTTCTGATTTCCCCTCAAGCTATTCTGGAAGGAGAATTCCCCAAATCCTGGGCTGGCCTCCTGATATATAATCCCAGGCTCCACTGCACCTGAAATGACAAGACATCGTGGTCAGGGTGGCCTCTGCCTAACTTACACAGGGTCATTGCCATGTGCCAGGCACTGTCTCGAGTCACATCCCACGTCCCATCCCCGGTGGAGGGCCGAGGTATCCACATTTGAGCCTAACCCAGGTCTGTCCTCTAGTTTCTGGCTCACACGTGGGGACACGGACACACATAATGTGAAAACGGGGGCCTGCTCTGATACTCAGGGGCTGGCAGGGTCAGTGTTTTCACTGACTGCCCCAAAAACAATGGGAAAAGCTTCCGTAAAATTGTTACAGGAGAAAACACATTCAGGGAGGTTGAATTGGTGGCCCACTCATCAGTATAGCTTCTGTCCTAGTCATTCTGTGACGCAGGGTGTATTGCCATGAATGGGCACAGCCCATTCTCTGCTGCCTGGGGGCACTTCCACGGGGAGAGTCCCTAGAAGTGAGTCAGGATGATTAGTCACGTCCCGTGGCATCAGCCTCTGAAAGCAGAGCCCCTGGCATACCCCCTTAGTATCTGCAGGAAATAAACACCAGGAATGCGAATGTAGATCCTTTTTAGAAAGCCACTAATCTTGCTCTGATAAGTGACTGGGCAGCTATTCAAGGGCGGTGTTTGCAGTGCCATGGAAACAGACGAAGCTGGTGTTTTCCTGCTTCTAAATTCAGCGTCCAAATCGAGATAAAAATACGCTGAATGCTACGGATCCAGTTCCCTAAACTCAGACGTACTTCAGTGTCCTATCTGTGGCTTAAGGTCACTCGCCACGGCCTGCTGCGAATTTGTGACGATCAGGCTCCTTGTATATTGAGTTATTTTTTTAAAGTCATTGTTTTTTTCTTCCTATCTGGGCAAAAGTGAAGTTCGTCGAAGTCAGATTTCCACCATCAGGGCTCAGCTCCTGCGATCGGTCAGACCGTTTCTGTTTAGAAGATACTTTGCTAAAGTAAGTGCTAAGTATTTTAGGCAAAGAAACCCAGCTGTGAAAATACTGGTAACATTTGCACAGTTGTTTTATATGTGGATTTATTTTTACTTGCACTTAATTCCGTGCAATTTCTGGGAGAGGAGGCCCTCCACCCCTCCCTCCTTCCCCGTCGCTTACTCTCGCTGACCCTCCTGGGTCTTCTGAGAAATGACAGTCTCCCTCTCTAATTCGCACGGGTCACAAGTGTTCTGCATCACAGCACACCCCCGGCTAATTAGCCTTAATAAGTGATGCTGAGAGAAAGAACCCCGGAGAAAAGGAGGGACTGTTTTTGCCAAATTGGAGTTGACCCAACTGGCAGAACTTTCCAGTGTACTTTCCTGCTCTCCGGCCTCGAGTGTGTTCCTGCTGCCTAAACATACATTTCTGACATGGGGTCTTGGACACCCCGTGAGGTCCACGGCCCTGTGTACTCTTTGTTCCAGGAGGCACTGGGGCTTCATTTACTTTTATTTTACTTTCTTAGCTGTATGGTGATAAGGCATCATTTCTGCCACCTACGATCCTAGGATGCTTTAGCAGAGAGAGAGCAAACATTAACTCTATTTATTGAGCACCTACTGTGTGCAAGGCAATGGGCCAGGCACAGAGAGCAGAGGTTTGCAGAGTGAGCAGGATTTCAACGGGGCAGTGCAGGAGGAGGGGGCAGGTGGGCTGAGTGGCAGAAGAAAAAGCTTGGAGGCCAAAAAGCAAACGGACATTTAGAAACTCTGAAAAACGGATCGGAAGCAAAAGGGTAGAGTGGACAAAACTCGGGGTTCGAATCCTAACTCTTTCCCTATGCTCTCTGAGTCCCGATTTCCTCATATACAAAGTGAAGATAGCAAGCAAACTTTGCAGGGTTGGTGGAGGTATTGGAGACACTGTATAGGCCCAGCCGGTGTGGCTCAGTCGGTTGAGCAGCGTCTCATGCACCAGGAGGTCGCCGGTTCGATTCCCAGTCAGGGCACATGCCCGGGTTTCAGGCTCCATCGTCAATAGGGGGCGTGCAGGAGGCAGCCGATCGATGTTTCTCTCTCATGGATGTTTCCTTCTGTCTCTCCCTCCCTCTCCCTTCCTGTCTCTGAAATCAATTAAAAACACACATTTAAGGTACTCTATGGAACCCACCTGGCAGTATAAAAGATTTATATATGCATGCTGGGAAAGAACTGTAATTATTATTCAATAAACACAACTTGGGGATATATAGACTCTGCCAAAATATGAATTCCGAGATCAAATCAGATTTGGTAGTGGCACATCGAGTGTCATTTATTGAATCCAAGCTCTTCATTTTTGCAAATGGGGAAACTGACGACTTGAAGGAATGAAGGAACCGAGCAAGACTTGGTCAGTGAAATGCTGGTTAGCTGCTAGGAGGCACCCGCACAGGGTTAGCAGGAGCCAGGCCCTGTCCACCTGCGCTGGCCTCTTACTAACCCTCTCAGTGACATGCAGGGTACGCGGTCCTTCTGCCCCTTGTTCGTTCACAACCCCCCCCCTCCACGTATTCATGAAGATGTACACAAGCTGCAGTGTAGACCTCGGAGCTGCTGGGGACCTCAGGGATCACTTAGCCTAATGTCACATTTTGTGAGCGAGGGTACAGAGGCCTGTGTATCCGACGGCTTGCTCAGTGTCACCAGCTTCTAGGACGACTTCAGCCCGAGTTCCTTCCCTCGAAAGCCGTCTGTGAACATCAGTCATTGCTCTTCACGTGGAGAGGCCAGGCCCCGGGAGCTTTGTTTGCACCTCCTACATTTTCTTGTGTCTCAGCCTTTGGTGTCTTCTCCTTCGTGGTGGAAATTTCATTCTAGGGATCTGTAGAACCAGTTTTCTTCTAAGTTGTGGTTTTAGGACAAACAAAAACCAGTCCAAGATGTAACAGTTTGTGACAGCCACTGTGCCGTGTCCCTTGTGGTCTCTGGACCGCTCTAAGTGCACAGTAAATTTTACTCCCACGCTGAAAGATTATACCTGAAGTTATTTTCTTTCTAGCTTGTCATGGGACCTGACCCTAGGAAGGGGGCCCTGAGCTGTCGAACTTGATCATCTGGTCCCGCCGGCCTCGGTGTTGCTCAGGATGGTCTAAGATTGCCTCTCGGTGAGTGAGGCGGGCCAGGAAAGGGTGCCTTGTCGGGAGCAAGAGCTGAGGGGACCTGAGGGAGGCAGGGGGTGTCTGTGAACCCGTCAGCTGTCTGGAGAGTGGTCAGAGCTCCCGGCACGGGTTCTGCGCGGCCCCGGGGCTGTGTGTGTGTGGGGGGGGGTTGTCGGTGCTCCAGACAGGAACTGTTGTGCAGAAAGTCATGGAAGGGCCCTCACTGCAGGCACAACCCTGGAACTTTCTGGAAAAAGAGTCAGCCTCAGGCCCAGAACAGTTCTGACCCTTTTGCTTGCACAACCGAAGTGCTGGTCCTTCTCAATGGCTGACACTCTCTAAACTTCAGGTTTCTGTTTTTTAAAGATTTTTAAAAATCAATTTTATTTTTTTAGAGAGGGAGGGAGAGAGAAATATTGACGTGAGAGAGAAACACCCATCAGCTGCCTCCTGCACGCCCCTACCGGGGACCGAGCCAGAAAGCCTGGCATGTGCCCTGACCGGGAATCGAACCAGCAACCTTTTGGTGCCCAGGACGACACCCAACCAACTGGGCCACACAGGCCAGGGCTAAGCTTCAGGTTTTTAATTTGTAGAATAGGCTTCCTTCTCGCAGGTACTTGGAGATGCGATAAGACCAGTGCACCTGCCATAGTCACTGCTCAGGACTTGCAAGTTCTCAGTGTCACTTTTCTCCTCCCCTCCTCCTAGAGTTCATCTGACCACCCCCTCCCTCAGGTTGCACTTTCATATTGCTCCTTTTGACTTTATAGCTGTTTTATTAGCACAAATCAATCATTGTTTTCTTAGACTAAATAACTAAACATGAACTTACAGGATCAAGGTTTATAAGAGCGAAAATTGTAATTGGAAAATTCCTGAGTATTTTTATTGTTCCGTGAGCGTGGCCTGAACACCTCCTGAGTGCGGCTCTGCGCGAGGTGCCAGAGCTCCACATACACACGGAGCACGTGGCTGCTGCAGGCCCGCGTGCGAGGGCGCTAACAGGGAACATACATGGATGTGAAAAAATACTGGCTTGTAGGCTATCTCTTCATTTAAGGGAAAAAAAATGTACAAGGCAGTAACCCAAATGCACTTTCTGTAACATCACTGGGGAGACTTGGCTGTTTACTGAGCTGCTAAGACAAGTTGATAAGAGAGGGAGACAGTGTCTACGTGTCCCGTGCACATTGGCCTGAGCGCCAGGTGCCACTTGATCAGAGACAAACCATTTCACTTGGGGTTTCACGCTCTCCCTTTCTGCACAGACATAGATGCAGTGAGAGGGGAGAGGAACCCCGGGTTCCTGGAGCTGTGCAAGGTTCCCTAAGGTATTCTGAGACCCTGATAGTCGTGATGAGAGGCATATACAAATCAATTAGATGTGCCAGGCCTGTGTGGCTCAGCGGGTTGAAGGTCTCCAGTTCGATTCCCGGTCAGACATGCCCCAGTAGGGGGCATGCAGGAGACAGCCAGTCGATGTTTCTCTCTCATCAATGTTTCTCTCTCTCCCCCTCTCCATTCCTCTCTCTGAAATCAATACAAACTTTTTTTTTTTTTTTAATCGATTAGATATAATCCCTGTCCTTAAATTTTAGCATTTGGCCAACTGATAAGAAAATGGCAAAAATAATGCAAGAACTCTCACTGAGAGCAGAGAGGAGACCCTTACAGCGAGGAGGGCCCAGGCGGCTCGGCTGGAGCTGGGTCTCAGAGAAGGAACAGAATTTGAATTGGTGTCGTTGAGGGCGGCGTGCTCTGGGCCAAGAGGATTGAACGCGTGCAGGAAAGGGGGAGGGAATCATGGGTGGCACATGTGGAGGGCAGTCAACAGCTCAGCTTGGCCAGAGAAAGGGGTGGAGACAAGAGTTAATAATAACTACGTACTCTGTGTGAGCTCCCACTGGGTGATAGCTGTTGGGTACCGGGCTTGATGTATACGTTGTCCTATTTGACCTCTACAACTCTGTGACAGATTATATCATGTCCATTTCACAGATCGAGACGATGAAACCCGCTGAAGATGGCAGACAAGGACAACTGGCCCTCCGGAGCTGTGCTCCCGGAAGATTACTTTGACATCTGTGCGCAAGAGGTGGAGCAATAATGGGAACTGGAGAGTCCCCGCATTGTCCAGACCATGGCAGAGTCCCAATGACAGCTGATGGGGATCTGACTTGGGAAGCTGCTGGAGGAGAGAAGACGGATGCAGGTGGAGCTAGAGGACCGGTTAGCTGGTCGCATGTAAAAGGCAAGAAGAACTAATGGTGCTAAGGTTTCAACCCTGGACGGCTGTGAGGAGAGCGGTGCCACTAACGGGAAGGGGGGGCGGGGGTAGGAGGGCCTTGGTGACCGGTTTGGTTTGGAACAGGCTGCGTTTGTAGAACAGCCGGTTGTAGAGCTGCTGCTGCTGATGGGAAAGGGGAGGCCGCGGTCCAAGGCACAGCGATGCGAAAGCCGAGATGTAATAAGAGTTAATAATAGGCCAGGAGCTGACACATTTCACCAAACCGGCCTCTCCCTGAAGCCGCATCACCGAGATATCACAGGACATTGAAACTCCTTGATTCTGTACTTCTGGGGTTATTTTAAAATTTATTATCATTTAGTCTTTTAGCTCAAAGTTATGTTTGATAAAGATGAATTAAGTAAGAATGGCTGTTCAAGATGCTCATTTTACTTTGGGGGGAAACGTATTTATCTATTTATTTATATTTTTATTTTTTCCTTTGCTCTTCAGAGGGAGTGGAAAGGAGAGAGAAAGAGAGAGAGAGAGAGATAAACATCGATGTGAGAGAGACACATCGACCAGGGCTGGGGATGGAGCCTGCAACCCAGGTACGTGCCCTTGGCCAGAAACGAACCCGGGACCCTTCAGTCCGAGGGCCGACGCTCCAGCCACTGAGCCACACCATCTAGGGCTGGGGCAACTTTTATTTAGAGGACTGATGTGCGTGCGTGCGTGCGTGGTTTTCTCTAACAATAGAGTAAAAGCAGTTTTTGTGATACGTCCTTCAGAATTGGATAACTGGTAGCATTTTTTTAAATCCCGAAAGCAAATGACTTCCTCTCAAATGTAAAGCATAAATCATCATTGTGCTCTCTTTCTGGGGCTTCTGCCTTATGTCAAATTAACAGCTTTCGAAAGAAACACATATTTCCAGCTGACCTGCAGTTGGACCTCACATTTCTCCCCGAACTGTTCTCAGACACTCGAGTCACGCAGGAGAGAGGACACGTCCAGAATCTGCTGTGTGTGGCCCGGAATCAGCTCCCTGGCCCCAAGCCGCTTAATCACCTACCTCACAGGGGCCACTTTTGCCTAATGAATCCTTAGCTCCAAGTTTCCCTTCCTCCTAATGAGTGCTAATAAAATGCATTTAACTCCACTAATGCAACCAAAACCTGGCCTTATTTCATTGTGTCTACTTAATAAGAGCTTTGTTTAATATTGAATTACAGCCTGCTCAGCCAAAGCATTATACCAGGAGAACCGGGGCTGGGAGAAGGGAGTATCAAGTGCTCTAATTTGGACATTCCTCTGTAATATGCCCTGCAGTCTTGTGTGATTGCTTAATTCATTTAGCCCAGCTAGTCTGATCCTTCTGCCAACTGTTTTGCAGAATTTACTGCAATGCTAGGCAACGGGTCCCACCACACAGGCTGGAAATATAGTATTGCTTTTCCTGGGACCGAGCTCCTAACAGTTGTTTGGAGAGAGGCAACAAGGAATGGGACAGATACTGTTACAAAAAGGAAGAGCTTCTGGAGGTGCCTCCTTTTATAACATGGTTACAGCAAATCCAATTCTTATTGATCAGATCTTTTCTCCCCCCCCCTCCCAAATTATTTATGGTCTGGGTTCAGAAGCAATTCGTCTTTATTGTTCGATTTATCGTCACCGAGTAGCGATGTCTAATCTCCCATTTAGCTTAGCAATGAACTTCTCTACCTTTTTTTTTTTTTTAAATTCTCACCCGAGGATATTTCTTCCATTGCTTTTTAGAGAGTGTGGA